TATGTTAGTAACCCAAAGTGGACACATTTTTCTAGACTTTGTTTTTACACGACTTAGGATGTCCACGTCCCGAGAATACCCCTACTGGAGTACCTTAGTTGCTGTAAAACCACATGTTCACTTGTGTCAGCGTGAGAGGAACAGCTTTATTGATATTGATAAACGCTACAGAAATACGTGCTTCGTGTCGACATGTCTTTTTCGTTGCTGTTGATATTTAGATGGAAATGGTGTCTACCAACAGTGCAGAAAAAATCCGCACTAAACTCGCCAGGTACCTCTATCAGTAGCAATGCACCATAATAAAGAGCATGAAAATGTCATTCTTTCGGTAAAATGACACATGAGTTGTGTTTACTGACTGTTAAATGTGAATCACGACTTGTCAGCTACATGTGACGTACATTTAGATTCACATAATGTCAGTCACAGTGAACCTTTCAAAGTATTTAGTTGAGGCCACAAAATTTTCTGTTTCTTTGACCGTTTGAACAAAGGGTTCTTCTGTTTTGATATTCATGATACCTAAGTGATATTATTTAAAGTATGAAAATAGGTTTTGTGATGAGTTTATCGAAACTTAATGACCTCCCAGTACTTCCAGTCGAAGAGCATTCGACTAGCAATGATGTGATTCATATTAACTAATACTATTACTACATTCATGAGATATGTGAGAGATGCAAAAGACTCGAAAGAAGTAAAGCCAAGGAGCCCTACATCGCTGCTCGCAGCTATATTTCTATAGAATGCGTTACCAACAATAATTTCATTCAACGATTCAAAGGAAAAGGATGGAGATAACCAACTGTAACTCACAACTAACCCTAGAGATCGAGGAAGCACCAGAGATCAGTGAAGTGATATTTAGGATTTCTAAAAATATTACTATTATTGTGTGGCAAACAAATTAGAAATGTGAAAATATGAAAGATTTGAAACAGTGAGTGAGTGAGTTAATATTTAACGTCACATCGACAATATTTCGGCCATACCGTAAAGAGAATAATCAAACTATTACACTTTATAAATCCGTGAACCGGGACAACATGCTGAGGAGAATTTAGTAATAAGTAGATTGTCTGAACAACAGTTGCAGCTTTCTGAAGTGTGCAGCTTGACGTCTGATACTTCATCTCAGTCATTCTATCAGTACATGAGTGTTTGCTTCAGGTAGGCTTGTTGCGTGCTACATCGCCATATTCAAGTTTCATATAATGGAATTACAGTGACATATATTGATGCTCTGTTTTAATGTTAAACTGTACTGTTCCTGAAAGACAAGGAACTTTCGCGACCTGTAAACGTTTAGCTGGAAGTAAGCCCAAAGCAACAATTGCTAATGATTCAAAGAATGAGTTAATTGGATATGCTACCGTAAAACCTATGAATGTATTCAAGTGGTGTCTTGGATTCGAACAAACAGTCGAGCACAGCAGACTATGGCATCCTAATCATATTGTGATCACTAAAGTTTATAAACCTTGGTCCCAAACTCAAACACAATAATGTGTTTTCTCTAGTGTTTTGTTAGACTTAAGGAAACAGATTTGGTATCGTCATACTAATAATTGTACTCAGGTGGAAGCTTGCATTCGAACATGCAGTTTTAACACAGCGACCCGTTCTCTAGCTACCTTCAACAATGCTCTGATCACAAATCTTTAAAACCTGGCCCCAAACTCTGTGAAGTTACTTGGTATGTTAATAAGCATCCTTCACGTCTTTTTGCTGTTTTGGGCAACATTTGCAAAGCCAGCACCATGATCGAAAACAGAAAACTATAGACTTGCACAGCTTAGTCATGTGTATCATACATTTTCCTGTCAAAACCATTCATGAAATATAATAACGAGAAAACTTACCTAGTCCAGACTTGTGAGATTGCTGTGACTTGTCCAAGCTGCCCATCCTCTTTCGCGAGTTTACTTATATACCTTTGGTTAAATATTGACAACGAGATGAAGTTTCAGAGGCGGAGGATAGACAGTGATAAATGTGTTAACTGGGACTCTATTATTATTGGAACATACACTTGAGACCCCAATAGTCGTGATACTTGTCAACTCACTTATTAACTGTGTAAAATTTATAATGGTCATATCGTCATCATGTCTCACTGTCCATTGATCCAATAGTCAGTTTCGGCAATAACGCCCTTATGTTTCTGACAGCCTCCTTGAAAATCATGATATGTGGTCTGTTATTCTGCTGTCGTCTGCTGGAAATGTCAATACTTATTTTGAAGAGATACGTTTAATTTAGTCACACACCATTGCCAAACAGCTGATTCACATCTCATGCGTTCATTGAAGGGCATTTAGAAGTGATGAGCAAGAGTCAAAGATGTCTCTGGACATCAACTTCTTCAGGTGAGTGATACTGGATGGGCACGTATGTCTTCCACTCTGGGAGCAATGTAACAATAGATAATAACCTAAACCATGGACAGTTCATATAACAAAGTAAGTTGGTTACTGAAAAGCAAGGTAAATTGTATAGACCAGGTAAAAATCGCATGTAACATGCACGTGTAACGGGTGTTCTTATGGCTGCATCTGATGTTTACGGTGGGACGGCTGTGCACACGCTGCCTGCCTTGTCAATTTGACACTATTTTGTTTGAATCCTATATATCTGTTTGGAGTGAGTGAGTGAGTGAGTTTAAGTCACATCGGCAATTTTTCAGCCATATCGTGACCTAAAAAAATTTAATTCTGTATTAAATTTAGGTAAATTATAAAAAGCCTGTCAACGAAATACAGTAAAACAACTAGAATACCACAGTTATGAATACATATCTAGTATGTAAATCTAAAATATTTTAGTTACAGAAGACAACACAATATAAAAACAGGCCATAGATTGCCAACAGCTGAAGGTAGATCACCATACTATGGACCATAGGGACTTCAGTACATAGGCCTCCTGCATGGTTCCTAGCTGGATTTACACCATCCCTTCAGCCGTCAGCAAGTTTAAAGACAACTTTGCCATAAAATATAATAACATATATTCTACAGTTTAAAATATTGGTATGTTTAAATGTTCTTTGAATGATTTTGGACTAATATATGTGCCCCCACGGCAGGACAATAATTGTACAATACTTCAACCCCCAGTGAGGATACAGTCACTCACAATCTCAGCTGTTCAATTGAACTACCAATTTTAAAACATTTATCTTCTTACAAATCATATAGTTCAAAATTTATGTAACAATTCTAATTCTTTCAGAAATGCAAGTAGTAAATGATAATTGACGGTATAAAGATCTGTTACTGTCTATATGATGTATCTTACACTAACCATACTATATATACTGAGGGAAAGAAATTAGGGAACACCATTTCACGGTTGTGTTCCTTTATTTACCTCAGATTTCGCTTCACGGCGATATTCAAGGGTAGTTATGAAAACTTGCAAATATTAAACGAACACTTGAATGTTCCCGTGTTCCTGTATTTGTTTCTCTCAGTATATATGTACGTTAAAGGATCTAACAAAACGCACACTCGAGTTTGCACTTGGGCGAGAACAGAAAAACCGAAGTACAAACGAATAGGCAATATCACGAACTCTACTTTTCTCTAATTGAGTCGTGAACATTTTCAACGTAGGTCTAGGACCTATCGGGATACTTTTACATAGATGTGCAGCATTTCATTTTGTTTAAAATAATTTTTCCTTAACCATGTTATGGTATTGATACGTTTAATCCAGTGGCAAAATCGACCCGTTTTTATGTTAATAAAGTTAAAGCACTAGTATTTCAAAAATGACTATAACATTCTACCGGCTCGGGCAACACTGCTACAAAGAGGCGTACATTAATAGTTACACGGTGTTTTGAAAGGGTGTACGGGAGTGTCAGTCTTACAGTCCCGTACACCCTTTCAAAAAACACCGCGTGAAGAATATATTACCCTCAAGGTCTTTTGTTTAGTTTATCTTTAAACAACAACATTCAATCTTCGGCAGAATGAGACGCAAAACGTTTCACCATGATTTTTTCCTGAACGGCCATAAAGGGAGATAACTCGGGATGGCTTAGTTTATTATAAAAAAATATCGAATTTGAGTTTTGTTAAACGACAAGTGAAACACAGAAACATTTTCTTTTTTGGATATATTTATTGATACAAACAAATAAGAAATTTTGGTAACAATTTTATTATTCTGTTTATACTCATAATTGTATGTGACAACTCTAAAACTTCGAAGCGATTAACTCTTTGGCAGCCACATTCCATCTAAGGTCAGTTATTTGTACATCCTGCGTAGTGTGTCACATGACAGATTTGACGGGTGTACGGTTCGTACACCCTGGCAAATCCGAATACATGGTTTGGTATGCTTGGATATTGACCAATCAGAATTCGACAAATTTATCTGAAGGGTAATAACAGACCGTATTACCCTCGAGAGAAGCATACAACTTATTTTAGGCTGCAGGTACTAGCCCAGAAGCAGGTTCTGTAGCGTTAGCTCACTCAGATACCATGCCGCAGTTAAGCACGTATACCCCACTCAGACACATTATATTGACTCTGAGCCGACCAGTCCTTGTTGCCAAATCGGCGTCAGAATCTAATTAAATCATCGCCACATCCACACATTTACATTTCAACAAATGTCATACTTAAGTAGTTAACTACAAAATCAATGTATTCCTCGGAACGTTGCCTCATCGTTAAAGCCGAAGTCACATAGTAGACCCTTACAGGTATTGTGTTAACGTGTGTAATAATAAGCTACACACAGGTAGCCCTGAGGCAGAAGTTGTTGTGAACTGTTAACATAACAAGATAGCCATTTCAGTTGTACATGTAAGGCAAATGTCATCTCTTCCCTGAGTATAAGCTTGTAAGATAGTATGGGACGTTCTGTAAATGCTAAATAAAATATTGGAAATTCTGCGGGGATTCATTAAGATTATAATGAATATGTGAATGTGATCCCGGAATCCTTCATTTTTTCATTCCATATCCGGTCACACAGGTAGCCCTGAGGCAGAAGTTGTTGTGAACTGTTAACATAACAAGATAGCCATTTCAGTTGTACATGTATGGCAAATGTCATCTCTTCCCTGAGTATAAGCTTGTAAGATAGTATGGGACGTTCTGTAAATGCTAAATAAAATATTGGAAATTCTGCGGGGATTCATTAAGATTATAATGAATATGTGAATGTGATCCCGGAATCCTTCATTTTTTCATTCCATATCCGGTCGAACTTTTCGCTTTCAGCCACAGTGTACCAGTTTTTCCAGTCTCCTACTTCCCCTGAAACAAAGCGTGAGTGAGTGAGGGAGTGACTGAGTGAAGTGCTCGGAATCTTGAAATCATACACAATACCCATGCGGGTTCTTTCGAGATCGCAGGCCAAATGTAGCCATGAATGATCAATACAGCCAGCGAGTGCGTGGATGAGTGAGTGAGTGAGTTAATATTTAAAGTCACATCGACAATATTTCAGCCATATCGTGTCTAACAATACAATATAGAAATATTCCTTTTGAATGCCAACAATTGAAGGTAGATCACCATACCAGTGACCATGGGGATTTAATTACCTTCATGTAAAATACTCTAATTTCATTGGTCATTGACGCTTTAATAAGTGTCTGTGTCACCCTCCCAGGAGGGTGACAACTTGATAAAATAATACCCGCTGCCGCGGTAACCACCAATTTATCCGCCGAGAAGTTGTATCGCTAACAATCGTATGACGTCAAAATATGACGCATGCATGCGACTTTCACTGCCATAATTTAGGTATTTTATACACTGCATCTTAATAATAATTAACCACTTCTATATCAGTTTTAAGCTTGTCAGAAGATGGTTCAGTGATTTTGAAAATCCAGACGAGAGGCAGACGCCATTTTGTTTTAAATTACATGTCATACAGTCGGTAGCGAGCTTATCGATCTTCAAAATAAAACGAAAGATTTTGTACATTCAACATGGTGGTAAGCTAAATGAATTCCAATTCTGACTGGTAATAAAACAACAGCTGTAATAAAAAATGGGCACATCTCTTCTTTTTTTCCATCAGGAAGGGAACTATAATGAAATGAAATATAAGGCATTAAGATGCGGTCTAAACCCTGATATACAGGGTATAACACATAATGACATAGCACAGAAAATTTGACAACATGCTGATGCTACACAGCTATATCTAGAAGGATCTGAAACAAGCCTTAATGTTCCAATTGAAACACTGAATAAATTCTATCACATGTCAGGACCCAAAATGAACATAAACAAGTCGAAAGCTATCGGGATTTATTTCTAATGACATGTAGTAATATAACTTGAGCCAATGACCTATATCTTTTAGAATCCCACTGAATGCTTCTCTTAAAGACCCTTGGGTAATTAATACAAGAAAACGCCTTGAACATATTAATGGATCACTCGCTAGTTGGCAAAGAAGAAACCTGACTCTAATCAAAACAGCAATCAATTTCTACTCTAGTACATATCTTCTCTGCACTCCTAACCTGCCAAAACATTCATGGATGAACTCAATATTGCAGGCGTCACACTGTGCCGATTTTGACATAAGATGGAAACACGAAATTTGATAATGTGCAAATGTGCAAAGGATCGTAAAGCAATCGTGACATTCGTAAGGGCATCTTAAGCCATCGTTTGGCCGCCGGTAGAGTTTCTCCGTCTCCAGCTGCAACATCGGGAGAGCGGACAAAATCTTTGGCATGCCAAAAAAGTCAGGATACCCTGTGCGAAGGTTCATTTTCGTGATGCATACGTGTCTCCATCTTGCCCTTCGCACGGCCATCGAGATTGCTTCTTCTGAATTCGTGTCATCATCGTATTGCCTTCGTCTGTCCGTAGGTACCATCAGGCAATTTTCACCTTGCGAAGATAATACGTAGGGAACGAGATGCTCCCCGATTGCCATAAGAAGGCAACGCGACTGCGTACAGCCCTCGTGATACGTGCGTATAGCCATCGCATTGCATTATGATTCCATCTCGATGGGACCACGGTGTCGGTTGGCAGGGCTGAGTTTAAGTAGATCAAGTGTTTCCCAGCTGTAATGGTAACGTGGTGATATAAAAGGGCAACTCCCACGAGTCCTTCTTGAGCAACTTTATAGACCAGAGGCTTGTGTTCACTTCTCAGCATTTGTTAAAATTACTCCTAAGTATTTTCCTGAATCCACAGACCTCGGACAATAGCATATGAAGATGATACAACCAGAAAGAAGAAGGCAGCGGCCTTGCTGTTGATAATGCATCTCAGGGAGCATGATGAGCAGCTACTGCAGGCTCAGCACCTCCTCAATTTGTCATATTGCACTTTGCCATTTGTCACTTTGCTTTTATTTGTCATTCTAACCTTTGACTATGTACCTACACACACACACACCTCTACCTGGGGATGATGTTCCTGTGCCTTAATTTCCTAGCTAGGGACAATGCTTTTGGCATCAACAAGCGTTTGATGAACCTATTTTCTGTTCGGAATATGGAGCAACATGAGAGATTATTAATTATTGACTCCCAAGAGCCAGGGCCCCGTTCCTCAAAGCGACCGTAGAGCTACGCCAGTCGTAAGTCTATGTATGTATGGGGGTCTACGATCGTTTGGAGGAACGGGACCCAGACCTGTAGTTGAGAATGTCTTGGCATTCTGGCACACACTTCCGAGTTTTGCTCTGAACAGTGCACAAGACAACAGAAACATGCAGAAAGAACATCACAACCTGTTTCATACTTCACAACCTTATCAGAGAGATACCCTGCCACCCACAGTAACCTAATAGACGTCGAGGACCAAAACCATAAAGTGACCCCAGGCTCCTAGAGAAAGGACGAAGTGCTGGCTGATGTATACCATGAGAAGACCATGATTTCTGGCATCCAAGAAGGGAAACAGATCAGAAGACATCTGGGTCATTATTTTGCATCCAAGGCTGGCTCAGTACCACGGCAGGACAAGCTGATCTTGTTATTAAAGTGCCTGACACTATTCCCTCTGTACAGATATTATCCTGAGTGTAGTGACACTGATATTGTCTTTATTATGAAAAGACTTTGGTGACAATGTTGATATTACCAGAAAAGCGTACCGTGTTATATTTGCATATTGGATTGCAACCTGATCAGCAATATGTGAATTGAGCAATAAATATGTTTTTCAAACATTGCATGTCTATTTTTATCTGTGTTTCTCTTCATAGTAAAATATAACATATTTGAATTATAATTAAATGATGGGGAAACATTTTGATAATTTTAGTATCTTAAGTTTTCCAACTTGTAAATGTCACCAATAATTTGAAATGATAACTTGTTACTTTTCTGATAACATCAACATTTAAAACCCTCCCCTCTCGGGTGGTTTCAGACTGATCTCTGTCTTTTGAGACTTGTGTGTCCTCAGTTTCCTCCACTTTCCTCTTCTGACTTCTCCCTGTACTAGCCGGCTTCCTTCCTCTGACATGTTAAAGTTGAATTAAAGTTGAAATGAACTGACTTGTGATTCCAAAAATCTCCGAAAAACAATTGAAATCCCAACCATCACCGCAACTGTTTGATACCACTTGCCCTCGTGACCTAGTGTGATGCATCGCATAAGCATCGTATATTCAACACGATGTCGTGTTGCCATCGTTTAGCCATCATGTGGCCTTCGTGTAGACTTCAGAATGTTAACCCAATATTGGGTCTACCATTCGCTCAGCATTCGCATGGCGGCCGTGTGGCATGTCATTGACATCGTATTGCCTTCTGCCTGCATCGGACCTGCCTCGGATGTTGACTGGCTTTTGATCAAATTCGGGACCACGTTCGCGCGAAATTCGTGTGTTGGCATCTTTGTCATAAACGGACAGTGTGACACCAGCATAAGGAATAATAAAAATGAATAGATTAGAAGGTCAAATATCAGTAACACTTATGAGGATGGAGGCCTCAGAATGATTGGCATTGAATGTTTCATCAATGCTTAGAAATTGTCATAATTGAAATGTCACTTAAAGAAAACTTGATTTTGACAACATCTTTCCCTTAGGTCATTTGTACCTACTTGGTCCTAATGCTGTTGATTGCTTATCTGGCAATAAGAATCCGTATTGGAGAGATGTTTTATCGGCTTGGAGAATATTATACAAAAACCACATCTTTGACAGTGATGACTTAGTCAAAACCTTGGCTCAGAGACTTCAGTTAAATCATTTCTTTAAATCTTCACATATGATAAACAATTGATTTTGATTGCGGTCTACATTATGTCAGGGTATTTGTAATGAAAATGGATTTCTCAGTTTTGAAGTTCTAAAACAGAGGTACACAATAAGAAGAACCTTCTTAGATTATCAACATATGTTAAATAACATTCCAGTGAACTGGAGACAACGTTTAGGAAACAGAATTATCTGCTTAAATGAATTAAACATTAATAGTGTTTACCAAGATATGATCTCCAACGTTAGAGTATTGGAATACTGTCTTTCAGCATGATATAAGTTGGAATGATTTATTCAGATTTACAAAATTCCTTATCATGTTTGGGGGTGTGCCCAAACAATAAAATACTAAATCACACTATACTATCACACTGTATTAAACTTAACGTCCTCTCAGGAGGACAAACAAGTGAAAGAGATTTAACAGATTTTCTTTTTACAAGTCACTATCTTGCGAAAGGAAATAAACGTACCTTTTCTGTAATAACCAACGGTCCCCCTCTTTCCAAAACTTGATCATATCGTACTCCTCTTTCAGGTCCTTGTCTACTTGTCTCATCTTCTTAAAGGAACATGCATGTGCAACTTCTTCACAGAACTGGTCTGTAACTGCCAGGCCTAGAAATCTAGCGATGTCTTTCACACTCTTGACAGGGTCCTGGAACCAGAGTATGAGAGCTTTTGTGAACTATATCAGATATATCAAAGCGTGTCAAGTTAGTATTGGAAGAAACACCAATGTGACACCGGTCGTTGAAGCCAAGATACATAGATGCGGGGTTGCCAAACCAAGGACTATATTACGCGAACGCATAATGAGCGGAACCTTGTACGATAAAGGTTGTATCTTAGATCTTACAAATAGTTGAAGTTGAAATATTGATTACTGAGAACTGAGTATGACAAGTTCGATGTTTAGATGAGTCAGCACATGAGAAAATGTGTATTGCAATTTCGTAAGACTATAGATACCAACAGGTCAAACACAACATAACCGCAAGCTGGCAGCCCATGCGCTATTTAAGACACAATCCCAGCTCTCTTGGAAGTTTCAAACGAGATCTCAACTACCTACCTACCTACGTGTTGTCAGATTGATGAGGGGCGGTGGGGTAGCCTTGTGATTAAAGCGTTCGGGTTCGATTCCCCACATGGGTACATTGCGTGAAGCTCATTTCTGGTGTCCCGTGATATTGCTGGAATATTGCTAAACTAAACGCGGCGTAAATTAAACTCATTCACTCAGACTGGTGAAAGATGCACGTGATGCAGATCATAGAAGCCATCAGTTTTGTGGAAACCTACGAACACAGCTGTGACACAGACAACACAGAGATACACAAGGAGGACTGGTTGGGTTAAGGGAAATACGATATTTTGCACCTTATCTCAGACAGCTATTTCACATCACTTACTCTTAATGACGATAACAGAACTCACAAGTTTCATGTCCTCGTACACCAACTCCAGTACAGGTTGTCCTGGAGATCTGTCCAATTCTGCTTTCCATGTCAGGAGGTAGTCGGAGTAGGATCCGAAAAACACTGGAAATTTGGTGAGAGGAAATTTTGAATAATTACAAATGACATTTCCAGGTACAGAGACAAATTACTATGAGGAACTGTATTTTAAATAAATACAAAAAGGTTTGTTAATGAGAACGCCCAAACGCCATGGTCTTCGTAAAAGCTGACTGAAATAGCGAAAGACTGATTCATCGTGCTTACACCGTCAAGTATCCGTACTGTCATATTTCCAAATTTATCTTTCATATTTCATTACGTCACATACAAGTTAATTAACTCGTTTCTGTTTCCTAGGTCTTCCATTCGCTTTTCATCGAACTCCTGACAAACGGAACATTGGAATTTGGATATGTAAATTTAGTACACACTTTGGCCCGACAAATATATTTCTGTAAACTCTCCCAGGTCTCCTTCAAAGCCGACAGGTGCAAGGGTATATCTGTATTGGTTGAAGAAAGACACACAGGCATCTTTAGGATTGCGCATGATCTGGATACACTTAATCTTCTTCTCCACGACCTGTTTGGGGAGCATGCGCAGATATAAGTGAGTGTTCAGGGTTCGCGGTGCCGGCAGTGCGTCTACACCTTCTTTGTATATAAGTTCAAACTCCTGAGTTTCCTTAACTTGCTTCCTGTACTCAATGACCCCACTTCGTAGCATCTCAACGACTTCCACACCCAGTGAGTGCCTGCAACAGATACGCACATTGAAATGAGTTTGTCATACACACCCTGACAAAATTATACCCAATAGAGTCCATGCAAGCCACGAATATGAACCAAGTCTAGAACAGAGCAGTTTTAAGGAAGATGCAGGAAGACTTTGGGCTCCTTTTTATGGAGATAATTTAAGTACTGTTTTTCCTTCAAAAATGGTTTTCAGAGGCTAGATGGTGTCGATTGGAGAGAGGAGTAAGTGGCAAGTTTAGATTACTGGAGTTTGGGGAAAATGCAGGAGGTCTTGGGGCTCCTTTTTACCATATTTTCAAACGATAATTAGGAACTGGGATGATTGCAAAGATTAGGTGTTGAAACGGGATCAATTGTCTGCAGAAAGAGAAGCCAACCAACGGATTGTGTCTCGCTAAACTGCACTCACCGCACTTTGGAAACGCGCAGATGATGACGTCATCGTCATAAAGTTCAATGTCTCTGATGCTCTCAAGGGTCGTTTCAGGAGTTTCTCCCTTCACCAAAGACGGCGGCATGTAGAGACCGTCAAACACCATGCACTCGAAGCCATGGCCTTTAGAGTTTCTCAGATCTCGGATGCTGGAACACATCAATCATCATAATCATTTCCCATGATAAACGTCGTTATTGGTAATGTTCCTACAAAACTCTAAAACAACCATTTGCTTTAAATTCATGAAGTTTATTCAATAAATGCGAGGGGCCATCTGTCAGTTACATGGGATGAAGACGCGACATATTAGAGAGACGATCAAATGAGTGATATGTTTATTCAATTCGAAAAGAAAACCTAGTCTTGAATACACAATGCCACTTAGAAAATGCTTAAATGTAACGTATATTACGTAATGACATGGTCTATGTGATGATGATTTTATTTTGTACACATCAATTTTGCACATAGTAATATTTAAAAATTATTTTTAAAAAGTATGGGGGAGGGGGGTCTTTGGCTTTGTACATGACATAAAGGACGGGGTGGTAGTGGTAGTGTCACTTACTTTGTATATAAATTTTAGGGGGTCATTCACATTGTACATGCTTCTCCATAAACATCATCATCAAAAATAGCTGAGAGAATCATGTGAATGGACGACTGACACCGGGTGTTTGCGAAAAGGGTCAGCATGTCCTGCCAGTTGTATACCTTAACCACTAATTGTTTACAGACCGATGACGCATAACAGTTCTCTTGCCATGTGACGGCGACCTGTTAACAAACAGATAATCCAGGGAGAGGTAACACGGAATCCAGCTGTGAATTTGAATTTCAGAGATTTTACTCTCTCTCAAGTAAAGAACAACGTTTTAGAAATAGATATATGATTTAAACCCAAAATTGTTTTCTGAATAGATATCAGGTTGCCTGTTTATAATAAATGTTATGTTTGTTGTATAATGCCGCACTCAGCAATATTCTGGTTATTCGACGACATGTAAATAGTCACTTAGCAGCCAGAAAATCTTGTGAATAAAATAGTAAATATCGCTAAGTCGGATAGAAAACACGTATCACCAAGGACACAAAGTCTCATTACCCTATCAATCCCTTTTGCTTCTCACAACAAGCACGGAATGTTGAAGATCAATTCTAACCTTTATCACACTGTTATATGAATAGCACGACCCACGCTATGCCACTGTATAATTCACGGGGCCGAACAACCCCATAACACAGATATTGACAGTCACAGTCACAGTCATAATGGACATTGATCGTGAGGGTGCATAGTTATGCATACTTGGCTAACATCTGTTTACCGAAGGCAGCAAATAGAACCCCAAAACCCCAAGGCTGAGCAAAGCCCCAGTCAAAGGCGATCGCAATTGCTGTTGGCTGTGTACTGCTGGAACTCAGGCTAAGCGTTTATTAAAGTTATTCAACTAGCGTGAATTGATGCGTGAGGTGAGGTGAGGTGAGGTGAAATTGGGTTTAACGTCGTGCTTGAGAATATTTCGCTCATATGACGACGTGCATGCGTGTGTATGTGTATGTGCGGCTGCTTGTACTAGCCCAGACTTAAGCTGGTTTTATAGTGCTAGCCCACTGAGATACCATGCCGCAGTGAAGCATGAATACCCCACATTATACTGACTCCGAGCCGACCAGTCCTTGTTGTACCCATTTATGCCGAGCGCCAGGAGGGACCAACAAGTACCATATTTTAACGTCTTTTTGTATGACGCGGTCGGGGATCGAACCCGCGACCTTCCGCTCTCCGGGCGAACGCTCTAACCACTACACCACGGAGGCGGTCGAATCGATGCGTGTATCGGGTTTCCTGCATAGTCTATATTATGTGTGTTATGTTATGCCAAAGTAACACTGACTAGCGTGCAGCATCTGTTCCAGCTAAACAAAACGTAAATGTCTGTTAATTTACGTTTGAATAACAAATACCTGGAGCATCGCTACACACCACCTCGACGGATTGCACGATTGGATAAATCCCTGTGAACAAACACTGGATTGTTAAGATCCTGCATCTGGGTCACCGTGCGTGATGTCAGTGAGATAATCTTGTCGTTTATGTCTTCAGTATCGTTAATTAAAAGTCAGCATGCGGCTCTAGGCGAGCGGTATTACTATACCGATCATAAATGTCATTATAAATGAATATAATAATGAATTTACTTATAAACTTACATGGGAGGTTCACCACTGGGCTGGTCCGTGGTCATGGCTGTGAGGTGTTATGTTAAACATCCCACCCTGTACAATGGGTTCACGTATCAACGCTCGAATGAATAAGTGGGTGAATCGAAGGAATGTAGGTCTTTTCTCTCTGTGCCGTCCCCACCGGGAGTGATTTAAAAACTGCCTACTCAAATTGCAAATGTGATAGCTTCACAACATTTTGGTCATTATATCACAATCTGTTCTGTTAATCTAGTGCTATATATAATGTACTGCTATTATATTCTCAAGTACCTATTCATTTCAACCTGAATGCACATTTGCCTGTAAATCGACTTTGTATATACATGTATTTGCAAATCGTGTTTATACCAACCTGTTATGTGATGAACTACCTGTATGACCTGGATGTATGGAGATTCAAACATACAAAATTTAAAAAAACCCAAACCTTTATTGCCTCTTGCTGAATCAGCACAGGTTGTGTATGTTAATGCGAAGTGGATGGCTTGCCCTCATATTGCCTACACCTCATTTCGCCAACACCTTATATCGCCTACAATAATTATAATGACCACCCCTATCATATTAATGGGTATTATCCAACTGGCTGTTAACATTAAACAAATAGATCCTGTACATCTTTGACTTGTTTATGTTCTTTCTTTGATCAACCATACATGACTTGTTTATGTTCTTTCTTTGATCAACCATACATGTTTTCATTGTTTTTTTTAGTTGCTTTTTCTGTGTTAGCAAAACTTAGTTAGTGCAAGGGCTGGTGTAGAACCCTTCCCAGATGTGATCCAGACAGACTGTCATCAGTGCTGTAAGTGAGATCTTCCCTGGCATCTCAGTTCGGGGCTGTTTTTTTCACTGTGCCCAAGCCTCGTGGCGTCAAGTTGCTGACAGGGGACTTGTGCGAGAGTACATGAACAAACCTGCAGTACAGAACCACGTCCGACGAGCTGCGGCTTTGCCACTACTGCCACTGGATCAAGTCCAAGATGCTTGGGTTGAAGTTATGGAGCATGGTCCAGATGGTCAACAGATTTCCACATTCAACGACTGTGTAACAAGTACCTTGGAAGAAGACGACGCCAGATTTTATTGTAATATCTGGAACCAGCACGAGAACACTGGACCTCGCTCCAACAACCACCTGGAGGGGTATCACAATGGACTAAAGAAGAGAATGCGCCAGTCACATCCCAACATTTACCAATTCATAAAAGAAATCAAGAGGATTGAGATAGCAGATAAACGATCTAGACGACAGACAGGTCTTGGTGATGCTGTGAAACCTCGTGCACGTATTGACAGGGACGGAGATGCGCGAATTGAGAGACTTAAGCTACACCTTGCAACTGGACGAAAAACTGTGATGCAGTTTCTAGATGCAGTTGGAAACTTAGTGAAATTACATTAATTGTTCTGTGATTGAATGATGTATCACTGATGATGATGATGATGATGATGATGATGTATGTGATCGACTCGTGTGACTGATTATGGTGATGATATTGGTATTTTAACTTGTTGAATATATAACCTTATTAAAGTACAAATCATCAGTGCAAGAGTTTATTTTCATTAGTGGAAGAATACCTTATTAGTGGAAGAGTCTACTTTTCTAAAGGTATAACAGCATTTACACGATGTGCAGTCAACCCTTAATTTGTTTTGATAAGGGTGTAGGCGATATGAGGTCAGGCCAAGTGGATATTGGCGAATGCCAATGGGCAAATAGCACATGTTTATTATGTTGCAGCCATGAAATAGTGGTGCTCTGTAATAACCACAGGCTACGGGTTGTGAGGTCTATATCTTTATTCCGTAGAGGAAGAAGTAGTAGGAGTAGACACTCTGTAACAATCATAATTATACAATGTATATGTATATGCTAAAACCACATCCGATGAACATATGCCTTCATATATATATAGGTATAAACATCTCATAAATGCATGTCTTCATATATACACATCGGAATAACAAAGACTTAAGTAAACAATGGACCTGTCTTACATAATCTCTCGCAGGTTATGAAAAATGGCATATACTATTGTTATTATTACAAGTGACATTTCATGTGGCATATCAAGAAACAGACTATAAAACAGACAATGAAACCTACCCTGTGGGTGACACGGGAGTGTGCTCAAGCACCCAGCAGCCGGGCAGCCCCACAGTGCAATAATCCTACATAAAATAGGATACACTGATGGGAGGTATTGTCCATAAGACAACACAGAAAATAATACCATTATACCAACATATATACATACTTGAAACTACCACTATGGAGTTACAAACAAGATACAGAATTGATGAAATAGATCAATCTTACATCATATACAGCATTTGTAAAACAAGAAGTACAAGCCAAAATAAACATATAGCAAAACCACCCATACGCACATTCATACAGGTAAAATAGCATACTGTGTAAATATCTACATTTGATTTATCTTGAACATATTTGTGCCTATGTTATACAATTATTTATAGCAGGGTTTAATTAGCTGTGTATATATTACAAACAGTATAATTACTAACCTTAGATCAAAACTCAATCTTTAGAACAGTCCTCATGTAGAGACAGTGTGGTGCAAAACTGATTAGTAACATGGCGGTGAGAAGTTTATTTGAACTTACACCAATCAACTGAGAAGCTGAGCCTGGGCTATTGTTAAAACAACTAAAGACAATGACATAAAAGTAGATCGACCAAGATACCCTTAAATACACAATGAACCAGCCCTGTAACACAGAACTGAACAGTTAAGGCCAAGACAAGATGCGACTGGATTGACAACATATAATATATCTATACTGTATAGAGAAGTCGTCTGTCGGATCACCTGAAATAAGAATAAAATGAAAATGATTAATTATAAATGTATGTACACAATATACAATCCCTGGATTTATCCCTGTTACACACTTCCCCCCTGCAACAAAATGGTGTCCACATCATTTGATGCTTCCACTGATAAGGTTGAGAAGTGTGTTACGAGCACTGACATCATCCAGCACACCGGTTCCAATCAGAGATACCAGGTACTCTGCTCGTCTCCTCCAGTCTGTATCCGTGGTAACTGACATGACATAATCTCCAGTTTCCATCCATTGGGGTCTATGTCTTTCACGGGTGGATCTTCTTGGGGTGGAGGGTTGTCTCTGGGTGCAACTTCAACATCCCCTGCATCCTGATCAGGTGTCTCGTCCAAAACTACAGGAGTGAATTCCGTAGGCAATGTGACGTCAACAGGAGTAGCTTCTTCTGATTCCTCTACCTGCTCACGATCTGGAGTAGGTATATCTGCCGATTCATCTGCATCATCATCATCCATCGCAGTGACTCTTCTATCCTCTTCTGCTATAACCTCAGTTGGCCTATCGACTGCTTCAGCACTCGAAACTGACAGTTGGGATGAAGTGATGGGGACTATCACAGATTCTTCGTCACTATCATCAGGTTCTCTCCTTGCAATCTACGTGATGATCTTGTCTTAGAGACTGATACTGATGGTAAAGTTCTACGTAGCTTTGGTACTGTCTGAGATACAGGTGCTGATGGTAATGTTCTACGTTGCTTTGGTCCTGAAATATCCTGTCCCTGTAAAGATCCTATTGGAAGCAAGAGATTCCTATGAAGGGTCTTTCTTCTTCCTTCACCATTTTCCTTGCCAACTAAGTAAACGGGCACAGATGTATTTGGCTGATCGATCACAACATAGACATCATTTTCCCATCCGTCAGCAATTTTATGGCGTCCTTCAAAGGCTACAATCTTGACAAGTACTCTGTCGCCTATGTCCAAAATAGCAGCTCTGGCTCGTTGGTCATAATTTACTTTCTGCTTTTTCTGTGATGTCTTCGCCTTTTCTGTGGCCAGTTCGTATGCCTGTTGAAGTCTCTTCTTTAACGACTCTGTATACTTGAGCATAGATCCTGTGTTTCCTGGTTCTATGTCAAGACCAAAGGCCAAATCAATGGGAAGTCTTGGGTGCCGTCCGAACATAAGAAAGTATGGAGAGTGCTTCGTGGACTCATGCCTGGTACAGTTGTAGGCATGCACTAAGGGCGCTACCTGTGTCTTCCAATCTTTCTTAGATTCTGGATCCAGTGTTCCCAGCATATTTAACAGAGTTCTGTTAAATCTTTCGCACATGCCATTGCCCATTGGGTGATAGGGTGTAGTAGAGGACTTGTCAATTCTTAGTAACTTGCAGAGCTCAGTCATCAGATTTCCAACAAAGTTAGCACCTTTGTCCGAATGGATCCTCTTCGGCAAGCCGTAGTGACTGACAAAGTTGTTAAAGAATATATCTGCTGTAGTTTTTGCGGAGGTGTTCTTGCAAGGATAAGCTTGGGCGTATCTAGTAAAGTGATCTGTGATTACTAGTACATACTGCTGTCCTCCCTTTGATGATTCTAGGGTGAGAAAATCCATTCATACCAACTCTAGTGGTTGGGTTGTCTCGATGTTTACTAATGGGGCTCTGTCAGTAGTCGCTTTTCTCTTGATACACCGTTCACAGGTCTTTAAATGCATGTCAACATCATGTGCCATGCCTGGCCAGAAATATCGCTCCTTCAGTAGGGAAAGTGTCCTGTCTCTCCCAGGGTGTCCAACGGTGTCATGCAAGCTACTAAGGGCTGTTGATCTACATCTGGAAGGTAAGACCAGTTGTTCCTGCTCAGTGTCCTCTTGACAGGTAATTCTGTACAAAACTCCATGCTTGATTCTAAGATGATGGTAGTTCTTTAGCAGTTTAGTCATTTCCTTGTTTCCAATGTATTGAGTCCTGTCGGGTTTCTGTCCAGCTTCGAGACTATCCATAATTGTAGCTATAGCTGGGTCTCTATGTTGAGCGCTGCTCCATTCCTTGGCATTGTTGTGACACTTGTCATCAAATACTCCTGAGTCATCATCGCCTATTGCATCAGCATCCAAGCACATTGTTTCAACCAAGCTGGAGACCTGAACCTTGTTACAGATTGCACTCACTAGATCCGTAGTTAGTTCTTCTGTGTCAGTGTTGTCACTCTTAGGTAATCTAGACAATGCATCTGCATCTGAGTTACCTTTTCCTGGTCTGTAGTCATCCAGGTGAGCTGTTGTCAAAACGTAGGTGAGTGGATTATTATCTGTGAGTACGACGAAACTGTTTCCATAGAGATAATCATGAAATTTTTCAGAGATGGCCCATTTCAAGCATAAGAATTCCAACTTGTGTGCTGAATAATTCCTTTCTGATCTACTCAACCCTCTACTGGCATACGCTATCACCCGTTGTTTTCCTCCGTCTTCTTGGTACAAAACAGCTCCAAGGCCTTGTGTACTTGCGTCCGTATGCAGTTCAAATGGTTTGGAGAAATCAGCATATCCCAATACTGGTGGGGTAGAAAGACAAGTCTTCAACTGGTTGAAAGCTTCTTCTTGTGCTGATCCCAATACCATTCCTGTGGAATATTCGATTTGGTAGTTCTGTGCTTCTTTGAAGATGTCTTGGACAGAAGGTCTGATAGTGGTCTGGCAATCTTGGAGAAATCTTTGACGAATTTCCGATAATAACCAGCGAATCAAAGCGTCTTATTTCCTCTGGAGTGGTTGGTGTAGGCCACTGTCTGATCTTTTCAACCTTGTCTGGGTCAGCTTCTATACCATCCTCTGATACGATATATCAACGTAACGTACCTTCGTCTTGAAAAATTTGCATTTTTCGGGGGCAAGCTTAAGTCCACATTCCTGAAGACGTCTGAAGACAAGTTCAAGCCGTTCTACATGCTCCTGATAGTTCTTAGAAAAGATTATAAGATCGTCCAAATATATCAAGCAAATCTTCAAGTGAAGTCCTCCAAGCATTTTTCCATGAGTCTTTGGTATGTGGCTGGAGCGTTAGATAATCAAAAGGCATTCTATTATATTCATTAAAACCTAAAGGGACCTACTGTAAAAGCTGTTCTCTGTTTATGTTCTTCTGCCATCTCAACCTGATGATATCCGCTTTTCATGTCAAGAACAGAGAAGTACTTCATCCCTCCCAGACAATCAGAAGTTCTTCAATTCGGAAGAGTAACTGTCCTTAATGGTGCGACAGTTCAGCTCGCGAAAATCTATACGTAGTCTCAATCGTCCATCCTTGCGCTTAGCCAGAAACAACATTAGAGGCCCACGGACTATGTGAAGGTCTGATCACGCCAGCAGACAGAAGATCCTGAAGATGACTCTTTACTTCACTGTACATGCCGGGAATTCGACGGTGTCTCTGTTTAAATGGAATGTCATTTTGTAATTCTATCCTGTGTTCAACCATAGTTGAGTGTCCTAAATCATCATCCTGTTTTGAAAGAAAATATCTTTAAACTTCATGATAAGTTCAAAGTCTCCTCTCTTGCTAATCCATCCTGCTCAACTTCCACTTGCTCCAGTAAATTGTCCAGAGTCCACAGGTTGTCCAGGTGATAACCGTTCTATAGTAACAGGTTGCAGTTCACAGATGACAGCTTTGGGGTGTATAACAGCTGTCTGTGTTGTGATATTTGACACAAGTATCTCTATTTCCTCTGGATGATGGTAATCATTAGTTACAAGCGTTGGTGCAATATCCAGATCAGTTGATACAGATGAAGCTACGGTAGCCTGTAGGAGGGCACATACTTGACGGTATGGAATCCCATGACTCAACTGTCCTTTGATGCTGACTGTGTGGTTAGCCGGTATGGAAATACTTTTGTATTCTGCACATTTGACAAGTCCTAACCTTCCTCCATTCTTAGTCAACTCCCTGTCCTGGATGACCAAATTTCTAAATGTCAAATACCATGGTGTATACAAGTCACCCTTTTTGAAGAAATCTGGTTCCATTTAAAGCTCTTGCATTCTTCCAACAGATATAAAAGGACATTAGTTCCCAATAAGACAGGTACCCTACAGTTGTATCTAGTATCCGGGACAACTAAGAGTAAACATGATGTTTCTGTATCTTTGTCTATGCCACAACCAATAGGTTTGATGTTAACTTCCACGAATCCTTTATATGGCAATGACGATCCTCCGGCGAGTGTTCAATATCAACATGCAGTCAAAGGCTTGTATAGGTATATGACTGAGATGGCTTTTATAGAATGATTCCGCTACAAAGGACACAGTTGCTCCGGTATCAATAACGCTCTCACAGAAATATTTTCAACCTGTATTTCAACTTCATTTGAATGTCCAACTAATCTGTCCATTAACGGCTTTCCTCGGGGTTGTCATCCTAGGCCTGATAGTCCCCTTGCCCATAGGCCTGTTCCAGTTTAAAGGTTTGCGGCGATGATCCAACCTAACTTCGACAGCCATAAGCAAGGGTGACCAGGGTACCCACATCTCCAACAGACTGGTTCCTGAGACTGAGCAGAAGCCTGGTCTGTGTGTACTGTAGATAGTGAATGAGAAGTAGCCTGTTGTGGTACCATAGGAGGAGCAGATGATACTCTACTTGGACCGGTATCTGACCAACCTTCATTTCCATGTTTATACTGACCTCTGCCTCTGTTTCTATCATATCTTTCTCTGAAGGATGTAGATGCAGGTGCCTGTTGGTTATGATGGACAAATGAGGAAGGCTGTAGCTGCTGTATCTGAGCAGTCATGTGCTTCTGTTGTTCCTTCATATCAGCAAACTCCGAGTACATCTCCTTAAACATAGACTTAATCTCAGAAAGATCCTGTTTCGTTGTAGATCAAACTCCATTTCCCTGAGGCATAAACGAAGATCATCAAAGTTTTTGATTGACTCATACTTGTATCCAGCCAAACTTTTAAGAGCCGGATTAAGTCCATCCCATAATCTTGTCCTCAACATTTCATCCTGTTCTACTGGTGGTATTGACTTTTGCTCTGCTAACTGATAGAGTAACCTTTCCAAGCGACAACTCCATGCTGAGACATCCTCGTTTTCTCCTTGACCAGTACTGTAAAACTTGGACATAAGTACAGAACTCCTTCTAAGTGTCCCAAAAGCACTCTTAAGCTTCGATAATATGTCTGATGTGGTGGCCTTAGGTCCCAGTTTCATGACAGCTAGAGCTGCTTCTCCTTTAAAGGGATCTTCTGATGGCTTGTAGGATTGTACCCTTGGAATAGGTCTGTGTGTCCAATAAGCAATCCACTTCATAGTGCCACAAGTCATACTCTGCGTCCTTACCAGGCTCTCCACTGACGAAAGGTAATTTAGGGAAGTTATGATAGGTCACTGCAGACGCTTTGGTTTCAGATTCTGGGTTTACTCCCTCAGGTTCCTTCTTAATGACAGGTGCTATGTCCTGCTGTGCTTATCCTTGAATCAATACTTGAAATCCTCAGGTGGAGTCAGATTTAGGTTTGAATCCTGCCTTTCGAAAAGGCCTCCACCATGTTATCGAGTTCCTCCTTGTTGAACTCCTTCGTGAATGGATGCGCTGTATTCACTGAACGTGAAATGCAAACACTCACCGAGAAACAACGGTTGTGTTTGAAGTACAAGGTCTATGGCATACCAATGCGTAGTAGCAAGAAAGATGAATAACACACTACATTTACGATGTAGTGGAAGTAAAAGAGTAAATACGTAGGTAAGTACTATATGAAAGGTAATGTGTACCTGTTGTGAAGAGCTTATAGTACTTAAATAAATAATATATGGGTATCAGAAGCGAAGTGTAGACTTGCAGTGATACAAAGAAGGAAAACAGTAAACGTTAAGTTCGACACGGATAAGAGAGAAGCAGAACCGTAGAAGTACGACGCGAAGCAGCAGATTCAAAGCACAGCGCGGGCAAACGAATAACCTGTTCAGTACCAAATGAATAAACAGCAAAGACAATCTATCAACTCACCATTTAAGAAAAAACCCAAACTACAAATGCCCAATGAACTATGACATGTATACTACAAAGGGAGATATTGTTAGTATCATGTTGTGTTGAGTGCAGTGACATGTAAAATCTACCAATTACACTTAATTTTGTGTGGTAAGACTTGAAGTGTTTATGCCTATTTAGTTCATATTTAAAGAAAGTAGTTAAAGTCAACTCAACCACACATCAATCAATCTTAATCTATGTACCTGAAACCGAGTGTTACCCAAGCTTAGAAACAACACTGGGTTAGCTGAGATAAATACACTCAGTTACATATTCTGTAGTAGTAGTACCGGTACTAATGAAATACTAATGGCATGGTAAAAACCATACATATACCAGAGTCTGTTATGAATTGAAGTGATAGAAAAATTCAAACAATGCTTCCAATGTTTAAAGAAATATACAAATACTCTTTGACAAGCTGTCAGATATATGTATTAATACAAAGAAATGTCACAATGCAAGTTAAGGTTTATACCACATATCAACACAAGGAATAACAACAAAGTGATCATCATAAAGCCTATGGCTATGCTTCACTCAGATGGCATATTGATATTCTTATTGATGAAGGAGCTCACGAATTCTTCAGCGCTCATGTATAAATATTGTCAATGCAACAAAAGGTTCAAGCATGTCAATGGCATGACACAGAAAGTCACAATTCACATGAAGACTGTCATCATAGTTACGCACACACGAATATAGTCGTTATCAATGTTCTCACCCCAGATGTGGCAGAACTCAGAAATGGAACATCAGATCCATCTCTCATGCACAAGCAGTTGAATACTGTCTTAGGCTACTGGCTCTGGCGTTGCTCAGATACTCCTCACTGGGGGCTCCATTGTTGCAGCCATGGGAAATAGTGGTGCTCTGTAATAACTCCACAGGCTACGGGTTTGTGAGGTCTATATCTTTATTCCGTAGAGGAAGAAGTAGTAGGAGTAGACACTCTGTAACAATCATAATTATACAATGTATATGTATATGCTAAAACCACATCCGATGAACATATGCCTTCCTCATATATATATAGGTATAAACATCTCATAAATGCATGTCTTCATATATACACATCGGAATAACAAAGGCTTAAGTAAACAATGGACCTGTCTTACATAATCTCTCGCAGGTTATGAAAAATGGCATATACTATTGTTATTATTACAGAGTGACATTTCATGTGGCATATCAAAAACACACTATAAAACAGACAATGAAACCTACCCTGTGGGTGACACGGGAGTGTGCTCAAGCACCCAGCAGCCGGGCAGCCCACACGTGCAATAATCCTACATAAAATAGGATACACTGATGAGAGGTATTGTCCATGAGACAACACAGAAAATAATACCATTATACCAACATATATACATACTTGAAACTACCACTATGGAGTTACAAACAAGATACAGAATTGATGAAATAGATCAATCTTACATCATATACAGCATTTGTAAAACAAGAAGTACAAGCCAAAATAAACATATAGCAAAACCACCCATACGCACATTCATACAGGTAAAATAGCATACTGTGTAAATATCTACATTTGATTTATCTTGAACATATTTGTGCCTATGTTATACAATTATTTATAGCAGGGTTTAATTAGCTGTGTATATATTACAAACAGTATACATGTAATTACTAACCTTAGATCAAAACTCAATCTTTAGAACAGTCCTCATGTAGAGACAGTGTGGTGCAAAACTGATTAGTAACATGGCGGTGAGAAGTATATTTGAACTTACACCAATCAACTGAGAAGCTGAGCCTGGGCTATTGTTAAAACAACTAAAGACAATGACATAAAAGTAGATCGACCCAGATACCCTTAAATACACAATGAACCAGCCCTGTAACACAGAACTGAACAGTTAAGGCCAAGACAAGATGCGACTGGATTGACAACATATAATATATCTATACTGTATAGAGAAGTCGTCTGTCGGATCACCTGAAATAAGAATAAAATGAAAATGATTAATTATAAATGTATGTACACAATATACAATCCCTGGATTTATCCCTGTTACAATTATGTAGATTAAAGCTCTTGCATCTTTGTTAATTTACTTTAATTTACTAATTTACTTTGAGTTACACATGGAAGGCAACATGGTATCATATCTACCTAAATACAACTTCCTTGAGTCCTATTTCGTAGTATTTGGGGAAAACACGTTGTTCAAAGCGAAGCTATCTTTTCTATACGTGATGAGGATCAAGCCGAGCTAATGATAAACCGACCTTTATGTCCTGTTGAATGAGGGCTTTGGGTAGTACTGTTTTCTGCTGCATAATCTGCTGAATATTCCAGCTATATGGCGGCGGTCTGAAAATAATCGAGTGTGGACCAGACAATACAGTGATCAACACCACGAGCATCGGTCTATGCAGGTGGGATGCGATGACATGTACAAACCAAGTCAGCGAGCCTCACCACCCGATCCCGTTAGTCGCCTCTTACGACAAGCATGGGTTGCTGAAGACCAATTCTAACCTGGATCTTCGCGGGTTTGAGGGACGTAGGCATATAGTACTATATTGTTATGCAAGTAGGCAGTAGGTGGTACTTTCTTTTGCTGCACGTGAGCTGTTCATAGAACTTAATTCTGCCTCTTGAGAGCGTGAGTATGACTTACTGTGTTTGGAAGTCACTATTAAAGGAGATATACAGTACACATATGAAACCAAGCCAATTATAAGCATGTAAAAAGAAATATTTTGAAGAATTTTTCTTAAGTCAACATTGTAGCCAAAAAAAACCATAAAAAAACTCTCGTGTTCCGGGGACTATCGAGTGTTAATGAGCAGAGTTTGGCATCATGTGACCTGACGTAATAGTGGGAGTTGACGCGCTGCTTCAATACAGGTTTAGTAGATAACTAGCGTTCGCCATGTCATCACCGGACAAAAACACAAATAAAAACTATGAATTTTTGCACAATGCCCTCGGCCATTTGCGCACTTTAATATTAGCTATAACATTTTTTTACAGCAGAACAGAAAGCGAAGTAGATCTATGAAGCTAAGACGACCAATCAGATGTCATTACAACGTGTGCCGTTCATTTTCGATTTCGATACCATATTTAGGCTGGATGGTTTACTTTTCTCACTTAGTTCCAACACAAATAATCTAATGTGGAAATCATGCAACGATTCCGACTTTTCTTCACACGTGTATTTATGTTTTAGGTGTGATTGTGGGGTGTGTGTACCTATGGCCACTTAGAAAGTAATTCACGAATCGGGCATGTGTTTATATATCTTTACATAAGCATATATACATACTAATAAATAGTGGATCTAGTATTGTAAGAACGTAGGCATAATAATACTAGACAAACCTTCGCGTTTCCTAAACAAATTGACGATACTTATCTGTTTTTCGCGAGACAGGTATTCTCATGTGAATTGTGCAAGGTGACAATTGAAGCCCAACAAAGGAGAAAAATATCAACAACTATTTCAATTATCACCGACTGATCACTAATGTTCGATGATAAACATATATCCAGTAAAACAATGTTTATCCAATAAAGCTGTCACACACCATTTTCCCCTTGTCATTCATCTATTAAAAACTGTAGTTCCCGAAGCAAAAAACCTGTACAGTGTGTGTTTATGTTTATTATCCTTGTATAACACATCTTTATTTACACGATTTCTGGTTACTTTACTTTTGAAAAGGTGTATGTCATGTACATTGTTGTGAGTATTCACCATGTATTAACGTTTATGCTGTATCCGAATTTTCCTCCTCGCTAAATTGGTCCTTTC